TCATGTTTTGCAAAGTACCTTAATTTTAAAAACAAAGATTACTGAGCCCCTTTCTTTTTTTTAAGCAGAGGAACTGTAGGTTTGTTCCAAAACATCAGGTGATCCATAACTCCAAGGAATCCTATTCACATTAAGCAGGTATTGCAAAAGAATTATGGCATATATACGCTAAGTCAGCAGTAACACATCATTGGTATCTTTCTGGGAAAAGATACCAAGTCTGTAAAAACTTAAGATCAACATGAACTTTGAGATCTCCATTCTTCTAAGAGATCATACTTCCCCAAATGTGCTCAGTAATCTTTGTTTTTAAAATTAAGGTACTTTGCAAAACATGAACTTGGGATAGAGGGTGTGGCAAGGGGAATGTGGAGAATTCCCACAAGTCAGGAAACTTCTGTTTGCTTATGTCATAGATGAAAGATTTAACAAAATCAACATGTTCCAGGCAGATTTTTCCTGTGGTTTTTCTGAAACTTCAGGACAAAGACATCTGCCAGGTTTGACTGGCTTCATGCATGCACCAACCTTGTGAAAGACAGTGCGTGGTGCAAACACTCCAACACCTGCAGAACCAGCAGGCAAGACTGCTGCCTGGCCTTTAGAAGAAGAGAGGCATTTCCCATAGTCTTGTTTGCACCCACAGCAAAAGGGCAATCAATTATTATTTAAACACCACTTTTTTATTCTTCACCTCTCATTGCAAGTTTTTTTGTCCCAAAGGTTCTCAGGTAGTCTTTAGGATAGATGCAGTCTGTATGCAAACTAGCTGCTTTTGTACACGTGCAGTTGTCAGTATGACCTTTTCTAAGGGGTGGTGGTATAACCAGTACCAAATTCAGTGACTGCTATTCAGACACACTTATTTCCGCACACAAAGCAAGAAACAATCCAAAGGCCATCTATTTCTCTTCCTCCACACACATTTCTCTCATTTTTAGAGCATTCCATCATTGAGTCTCTACAAAAACCTTTGCTCATACTGCTCCCATAAGTCTCAGCTTATACTCCATTTCTATCACCTGAGCACCCCCTGCACTCCTTCCATGGCTTTAAGCAATCTTATAAACTGTAAAGATTACTGTGAAAGAGTAGTCTGGTGGTTTATGCCAACCACCCTCCCTGTTCCCCATCAAATCACATCCACAAAACAAGCTGGTCTGAGCTCACTGCTGCCAATAATATGCTACATATGTTAATTTGCACTGTATTTTAAATGTATTCTACTCAAGATGCTCTGAAGTTATTTTCTCTCATTACAATATCTTCCAACTTAAGCAGCTACATATACAAAATGACACCATAACAGCAGGACTTGTTCTAGCTTGTAACTTGCTGCAAAGGCAGATTCAGTGGTTACAATGAGCAAAATGATTCTTCCCCCTATGCCCCAGAAATCAGGAAGTAATTATTTAGTGAAGCTCCCAATGGGAACTCTTATAGTTCAGTTGTATTTCACAAGAAGAGGAATACAAGTTGTGCCTACTTCCAAAAATATTCAGGCACTTTGAACAAAATTCTTTTTTATAAGATTTTTTTCAATGTGGTTTGAAACAGTGCTACAATGGTACAGTCAAACTCTTTTCAGGACACTAAATCAATATTTAAAAATGTCTTAGTCCTATTTTCTCCCTGCCAGAAGATCTGGGCCTCTCAGGCCATCAAAAACCAAACAACAAAGGGACTGTGTTAATGTCACAAAATGGAAATGCCAGGAAAAGGCAGCTTTCTAATTCTTTCACCCCTCCCTCACTGAAGTCACTCTAAATGCACCTGAGCCATTCTGGCCATGACATTCACTAGTCATAGATTGTAACTCCATAGGTTACAGTCTGTAATCTTCTTATGAATGATTGTAGGAGCAGAAGTTCTGTCACACTTTTTTTTTTTTTTTCTCCCCTTTTTTATAAAGTGTAGAACTTTTCCACGCCTTACTGTTTTTTCCAAGCAGAAATAAATCTTACCTTTGCTCTGTCCTAGATCTTTTCTTCCATAAGGAATTCTGTTAACAGAAAGAATGTACCCATCTTCTGTTGTCACTTCATACTCCTCACTGGGGTATCCCCTGAACGTGATAATCTGACTCTGAAAAAAGAGAAGAAAGAAGCTTGGAGCTCCCAGCCTGCTTCATTCATTAACACGCTCACAGTACCCCGGGCTCCTTCCCAACAGCAAGGTGAAATTACAGGACACGGCAGGAGTGTACCATAGCCATCTCTCCACACACCACAGACAGGTTTCTTCTGAGACCTACGCGAGGTAAGAGCCTGCTGGAGTACAAGCATTAACCCAGGGACCTGGGAGGACTTACACTGTCCCCACACACTGTCACACCTTTGTTATAGTGCAAAAGATTGCAGCATTGAAAAGGGAGTTTTTGTAACAGGGCAAAGCTCTGAGACAGAAATGGCAGGCAAAAAGTGACATGGTCATCCCCTGATTCTATTATTTTCTCTCAAGAAAAATAGTATCTTCCAAAAACAAACAAGCACTTCAACGCCTGGTACCACAGCGGCATGCAGAGGATGAGAAGGAAGGAAGAAGCCTGCGTGGGCACTGGCACAGGTGCCGCAGGGCAGCGTCACAGCACAGAGCCTGGAGTTCACGCAATGCTTGGACACCGGCTTTGATTCTGAGAGGTGTTGCGTGGAGCCAGGAGCAGCGCGCTGCTCGCGGGACGCTCCCAACCCGGGGCATTCTACAAAGAGTTCATCTCTCTTCGGAAGGGAAGGACAGAATAGAAAGGCAAGCAGCTGTCGCTGCAACTACGGGAGGACGGCACCAGCATTACGTACATTCTATAAGCACGCTCTTTTCTAGCGAAACACACACAGCGAGCTCAGAAGTCACAGAAGAGAGATCGACTGCAGGCATCAGGGGCCGAAGGAGGACTCGAAAGAGAGGTGCGGGGCTCGGGGCCGGCAGTAGCCGAAGCCGCCGTCCCGGAACCACACGGCACAACGCACCTCCGAGCTGGCACAGCCGCCGTTCAGAGGCTGCAGCCTCAGCAGCGGCTTCTCCACCGCACTACAACCCGCCCGGCTCCAGCGGCGTTCCCCCGCCCCGCGACACAACTCACGATGTTCATGTTCGTCTCGGGGTCCACGTTCCTTCTCCCGACGGCGAACACGCCCGGAACGACGACGCCGTACAGCAGCACGGCTGCAGGCAGCAGGCCCCGCATCCTGCCGGGCTGAGGGAGGACGGCTCGCCGTATAAGAAAGCGGCCCCGCCGCGGGCTTATGTTCCTCCTCCGCCGAGCCCCGCGGCTGGCACGGGACCGCGTGACAGGGCGGGGGCGGACTCCCGCTGACGGGGCGAGGACGGGGCTGCGCAGCCCTGAGCGGCTGAAAGCGCGCGGCCGGGCCGGGTGTGTCCCGCGGCCCTCACGCCTCCCCCCGGCCACGAAACCGTCCGCGCACCGACCCGCGGCGGGAGGAGGGAGCGGGGCCGGCGGCGGCGCTCAGGCCACGCGGCGCGGCCTATCGCGGCCCGAGGGGCGGGAGCCCGCCCGGGGGCGGCGGCCGCGCTGCTCCGCGGCGCTGCGCTGAGGGGCCGCGAGCCGCAGCTCTGCGCCCTCCCTGCACGCCGCCCCTCGCCGGCTGTGCGACCTTGGGAGGCGTGATTCAGCGCTTCTCAGCAGCTGCATGGGAATTTTTCACACCCCCCCGTCCCCTGAACTCACTTTTAAAAAACTCTGTAGACTGAAATTTCACGAATGCCCCCCCTCGCCCCGTAATTGCGCAGGTTTCTGCCCCGATGACCCCTCAGCCTGCCCGCAGTCCCGTCCCCACCCACGGGCACTCCGTTCCTGAGGGTTTCGAAGCTTTGCATCCAGCACCGTTATCCTCTCACAAAGAACAGATCATCTATCCATCATCGTTGAGCACAATCTAAATATATCAAATCTGATACAAGCAGGCTTGAATTACATGCAGGTGCACAGCTCCTGCAGCTTGCTGCCAATCTGGTCCGTCCCAGTGCTCTGAGGCAATGAGCTGGCAGCACATGTAACATCTGTCGTGTTCCAGAGCCTGTGGTCAGGCGGCGTGTGGCCATGCTTGCAAAACTTGAACCGCATGCAGGCCTGAAGTACAAACATTCACATCACTTGCACATAGTAATATCCTTGGGATAATACTGAAACCTGAAATAAAATACATAGTAGCAGAGCAGTAATGTGTCAAGAAAGCATGTGTTTCTGTCTATTTAGAGGGCGTGAAGATTTTCATTGGAGTTTTCGCTTTCAGAAGTACTACAGGGCCCCACACAGCACACGGTTGTGATGTGGGCCTGGCACAGGACAAACTAAACCCAGAGCTAACTCACTGTCATTTTGCCTCGTCTACCCCAAGAGGGGCACCACAGGAATTGGAAGTTCACAGCGTTATCTGATTGCTCTACCTCCACTGCACCTGTAGGCATCCTCCTTGTGTGTGACTTTCCCACCTGACAGAAGTGTTTTAGGATGCAGTCAGTTTAAATGCTAAACCATCAGATGAAATATGCTGTGAATAGTAAGGGGTAAAATGCACATTCAGAAGCAGACTACCACAAAATAGTACTAAGGTGGACTCTCAAGAGCTCTTTTAAAAAGTCTATAACCCTTTCTTTCATCTTTCTCAGCAATGAATGTGCTAAGACCACACACGAGCTGCCTTTGGAGAAATATATCAGAAGAAAAGAGGTATCTTGGGCACTTCAGCACCATTGCATCCACTAGTTTTGACACACAGAGATGTCCTGGACACTCAGTGAAAGTGATGCCCTTTCTATTCTTGAATTGAATTTCACAGGATTACATTTTATTTTCAGAAGTTGGGTAACAAAAGTAATGCTGAACTATTTGCGTGGGTTTTCAAGAAGATTAATTACAGGGTACTTTTCTCCTCAGAGGAAAATACAAATTATAAAATGCCTGCAGTGCTGTTCTCAAGCATAGTAATTAGATGCTAACTAGGTTTAATGGAAACTAGATATTTAAATGATCTAATTATTACAATAGTATAGCTTCTTTACATTATTTTATTGAAGAAAACTGCATTTCAGACTATTTGTCTGAACTAATGTCACTAGGAGGGAATTCCTTGTCAGCAAATATCAGCTCCAAGAAACTGTACAGGCATGAGTTTTCTCTCTAAAATGCATAGATATTTTTGAAGTCATTCCCTTTTCTTCTATATGTACAGAATACTCAAGTAAGTAAAGCTTTTGTATTAAATACGAAGGCAGTTATTTCTGTCAATTTCTTCATGTACTTTTCATGAATCTCTTGCATTTGCTACTATGACCGTATTACATTTACATGCCAGCACTGACACATGGACTAGATTTTCCAAAGGTACTGTTAAAATCAAACAAGAAAGCTTCAGCAAGGATAGTTTCCCAAATTAAGATTATATAATTGCTAACTAGATCTCAGTCTTCCTCTCTAACTTGGTTTATCTATGTTTTCTTCTGCTTTATCACCATCTTATTTGCACCTCCTCAAACTCTAGATAAGCCTCCATGCTCAGGCTCTTTCCCATTTCCCTGCTTAATGCCAAAGATACCGTGACCAACAGCTGCTGCAAGAAAATGCATCTCCGGGACAAGCGCACCAAGGCTCCTGCTTATGAAGAGCCACTGCTGTGAAAAGAGAAGCACTGCTTGTTTTTATTCCAATAAAAAGGTGTCAGCTTTCCACCAGACCTGCAGCACAGCCCAGTCCTTGGGCAAAACCTGCACCTGGGGCAGGCTGCTAGTGAATGGACAAACTCCAGTGCAGCTCCATCACCTACTGTGTCTTGTCTGTGGCTTCACCCCGCTGCTGTCCCATCAGATCCAGTCAAGAGCTACCATTCCTGCAGGCTGCTGGGTGCTCCATGCTCCCTCATGCTCCCTGTAGCTAGTCAGGCACAGCCGCATCCCAGCCAAGCCATGAGCATGAAATCAGCTGATGTGTACCAGACACCATGAGATGTCTCATGAGGCATCCTTGGGAGCACATTTATTACCTTATTCTGACAAAACAGGGGCGCTCAAATTCCACAAACACTAATTATGAAGTTATCTCTTTTTTTTTTAGCCTAATTACAAATGGGTGTTTTATATCCATAGGGCTCTATGCACCAGTACTGAGTCCCATCTCTTGCTGTCCACACACCCCTATAACAGTACTGCCCTCACAGAAGCAGCTTTGCACTATGTTTGCATGGCCTCAGGACTGGGGTGTGTCACCCCTGCTCTGCTAGAGCTCATCTCCACCTGCTCAAATCTTGTTTGGCTTGGTACAACTGTGACAGCAATTGCTTCAATACGTCAAGTGTCAGTATTTGATTTGCTCAACATTTGTTTATCTTTGTGGTGTAAAACTGTAATTTGTCAGGGAGAGCAGCAAGCAGCTGCTCCAGGTAGCATAAGCCATTGCGGACAAACTAATACAATGGCAGCATGGAGCAACACAGGGCTGGTTGGATAGCAGAGCCCTCAGGACGTGGAGGCAGAGGATGTAGCTTAGAGGAGGGCAAGCAAAGGACCAAGTTACGTGAATGTTATGTGTATAAACAACACTGCCATAATAGAAGCTTAAGGCACGGGGCAAAACCATGCATATATTCATCAGCAAAGGCAAGAGGGGGAATGACCCCAAGATCCCGCTTATGTACGATAACCAGGTCAAGCTATACTAACTTGAAATACTCTCCTTATCATAGATGGCTTTACATTTGAGCAAAGTCAATGCTTTGAGCTGTTAGCAGCTGTTGCCATGGGCTCCACAACACAATTTAGTACATGGCACAAAGCCAAGATGAAAACAGAGCAGAGTGATTCATGAGTTTCTATTCTCCATCTGGCAGCCTTTGCTGCTCCTTGCAGATTCAGAGAGAAAGCTTGCTTTCACTTCCTCTTTCTCTCACAATCACGTGAGAGCTGGGGAAACAGAAAACAAACACAAACAAAGCACTGAACCAGAAATGGAGGGCAGAGCACAGCTAAAGCTCTGGGAAACTCGAGTGCAAGGTACAGGGGGGAAAAGGGGTGGGTGAACACAGAGCACATAAGAAAGGAAGAAAAGGGCTGAAAGGAGAATAGATGAAGGAAGGGATTGCCTTCACAGATCCAACTAGTGGTATCACTCATTGACATGCCAGCTTAGTTCTACAGCATTGTAGCTTGGTATAATAGATGGTGGATCTTAGGAAACATGAACACTGTTATTAAGGTACACGTTTTGGTCTACAACAAGCATCATAAGGTGTAACAGCATCAGTCATTCGTACAGCAACAAGATGATTGAACTGCCAGTGCCCAGGTAGCCAGCACACTTGTTCCAAGGAGAGTGCACCTCACACCTCTCAGATCTCACTCAAAGGCTCTTTCAAAATACAGGCCAAAGTGATCAGGAACCTAACAGTGTGCTCAGTCATGCCTGTGGTTAACCAATGTCTGTTGATCAAATGTAGGTAAATTTGTCCTAGTTTTCTAGCTGCCAGCTTTTCCTCTTACAAAGCTGGCCCTACCTAGGGAAAAGGGAAGGAGGTAGAAGAACAGAAGGATGAGGAACCACTGCTCATAGAAGCAACAATAAAGTTGAAGCCAGAAACCAGTGGTAACCTACAGTGTTGATCTTGGCTGTGGTGGAAAAATGGCACATTAGGTGACCCCACTACCATTCACAATCCTGAGTTTCTTGTATTGGTATTGTTTCCCTCCAGATCCTCCTGAAGGTGGCAGAGAAGTACTCAGCGCCCAGCTCATGAAGGTTCCTGAGGCCCTACTTGCACATCCCTGGTCCCCACCATGCTCTGTCACCTGAGCCCTTTGCCTCTTTCCTGCCTCTCTTTTCCTGCAGAAACAAGGAGAAACAGTAAGAAAAAGGTAAGCTTGAAATTTTGCTGAGTCAGACTCCATCTTCATCATAGTGAGGCACAGCGATGCAAGAAATCAGTGTCTTGTGTTCTCTCTTCTGTGTGCTCTGGAGGATTGCACTGGTCTGTTACCAGCCAGGGGAATGTTTGTGCAAGCATGGATTTGCAGTGCTCAACCTACGTCTGGTGGATGAGGAGGAATGCTGCTGGACAAGGCACTAATGGAGACAACTTGGTCAATTCTAAAATGTCAGAAGACAAGCAGGCAGGGCAGAAAGTCCAGGGATCTTCTTGTAGAGCTTAGAGAGAAAAAGGAAAATGTATGGCCACTGGACATGAGCTCAGGCAAAAGGGGAAGATTACAGAGATTCTGTTTGCCACAGCAAGGATAAAATGATTGTTGTCAAATTTCAGTCAAAATTAAAGCTGTAGAGGA